CCCTGTGCTCTGGTGCAGTGCTCCTGGTGCAGCACGGAGCCAACCCCCCCAAGGAGTCACTGTCACTGTGGCAGGGCCTGCAGAGCCTTGGGATGGTTCTGGAAGCCCAGGTCACATCCCTTCTTGCTGCTGTGCCTGCAGCTCCCCAAACTCTGCTATGGAACCAGCCCAGAATGCCAGGATGGTTTGGGCTGGAAGGGACCTCAAAGCTCATCTCCTTCCACCCCCATGCCAGGCCCCCTGCTCCCCTCTGTCCCTCATGGAGAAGGATGCTTCTCCCCACATTCCCACAGCAAGGTTGGGATGCTGGTGCCACTGGGTCTGCAGAGCTTGGAATGTGCTGGCTGAGGATTTTGGGGAGCTGCTCAGCTGCCTGTCAGCCTTGAGCCTCCAGAAATGGAGCATTAAGGGAAGTTTTAAATCCTCCACAGAAACATTTGCCCCAAGCTGAAACCCTTCTTGATTTGTTTTACCCTAACACCACTGTACACTCTTATATCAGGTACGTGTATATATATACACACAAAATTATATCAAATGTGTGGATATATGCACACACACAGTTCTATCAAATGTGTATGTATATATATACTGTTCTATGAAATATACATAAATCTATATGGGATCACAGAGCAGTTTATGTTAGAAGGGACCTTAAAGCTCATCCCATTCCACCTCATCCCATGGGCACTATCCCACGTTGCTCCAAGCCCCATCCAGCCTGGCCTTGGACACTTCCAGGGGTATGGTAAGCTCATAATAGATAGATGATAGATAGAGAGATAGATAGATTGTATGTATGTATGTATGTATGTATGTATTATACATGAGTGCTGAGGGAGACAGAAAACCCAGGGAAGGTGTTCAGGTTTCTACAGGTGCCCTCTGCCAGCGCTCCCAGCACAACCCGCTTGAGCCACTGCTCGGGGACACCAGGGACACCGGGAACACCGGGAACAAGGACCCTGTGCCCAGGCCGTGTCCCTGCCAGCCTGGTATGGGGACACCAGGACAAGGATCCTGTGCCCAGGCTGTGTCACTGCCAGCCCGGTTTGGGGACACCAGGAACAAGGTCCTGTGCCCAGGCCGTGTCCCTGCCAGCCCGGGCTGCCCGCCCGGAGGGGACGGTGCCGGGCAGAGCTCGGCGCTCGCAGCAGCAGCAGGGGAGGTGCGCCCAGCCCTGGGCTTTACAGCTCCGGCAGACACAAACTCAGGCAGAAGCCAAAGCAAATAACAAGTTTGCAGCAGTTCCTGGAAAGGAAGGAGCCGGCTCTGGTGGTGAAATCGCCTCGATCTGCCAGAGCCCCATCCTCCTTCACCGCTGTGTCTTCACATAAGAACTCCAGGACCGAGTCCTGTTGTCCTGGCCCTGGTTAGGAGCAGCAAGGTCCCTTCACCTGGGAACCTCCCCTGCCCAAAGCCCTTTCCTCTGCAGTTATTGTCTGGGTCGGGGTGGCTGCTGGGCTGCAAACCCAGCTGTGCCCATCCCCTGCCTCCCAGGGCAGATCCTTGGGGCTCCCTGGGCAGCTCCCCCCCGTGGGGTGCAGGGCTGATGGGCTTATTGATGTCATGGCCTCAAAACTGCTCTGCCTTTGGTCTTCACATCCTGTGGGTTTGGTATCAGGCTCTGTTTGCTGCTCTTGGAGCCTGAAGAGCTGATTTTTGCCAAGGATCTCTAATTCTATTCTGATATAATAGAAGAATCTGAGCTTCATATGCAGGGATTTCTACCTCTGTAGTAGAAAAAATCAGAACACACAAGCTAAATTATCTCCACACAACCTTAATCAGAGCTCTCTCAATTCTTTTCTGATTTGACAGAAAGGTCTGAGCTTTATTTGCAGTGAGTTCTGATTTCACAGATGAATATTGTCATGTGTGTGTTATGCTGGGTATTGTGCAAAAATATACAAATAAGGTCTTTGAAGTGAATTCACAAACGCCAGCCCCTGACGTGCCCCTGGACTGCAGCTCTAATTAACACCAAATGCAGCCACGCTCGGTTTGATGTGGGAGAAAAGACTTGGGTAGGCAGCAGGCTGAAGTCTCACCAACTAATTTCACAGAAGTTATTAAAAATACTGGATCAGCACAGCAAAGCAGCCTGTAAAAACTCTATTATTGTAATAGGATAATGAAGTGAAGCTGGCTGCTTTCATGCAGCATTTACAGACTGATGGCTCTTTTCCTTGTGACACAGAGGTGGGAAACAGCAGCTGGGTTCATCCCTTAGAGCACAAAGCTTCAGGCCTGGGCATTTACTGCCGTGGATGTGGATGGAACACTGCTGGGCAACTCCAGCCTCACATTAAGTATTTACATCAGCAGAAGTTATGGCAGATTTCCCTCATAATTAATGCCTCGTTAGGGCTGGAGTGTACTTGTTGGGCACGAGTATGAGAAATCTGTCTTTGTCTTTACTAAGGGAAGGTCTTGACACAGGGAAATCCCTCTCCCCTGTCCTAGCACAGAGAAATCCTTCTCCTTTGCCACAGCACTCTGTTAGAAATCTGCAGCTGTTTGGAAATTCATCCTCAGGGCTAAAATAAAATTTTTAGGTATATAAAGCAGGAAGGCACCAGTGTGCAAAGGACGTGGGTTCTGGCATTCAGGGATTCTGGACAGGAGTGATCTCAGGGATTCTGGACAGTGATCTCAGGGATTCTGGACAGTGATCTCAGGGATTCTGCACAGGAGTGATCTCAGGGATTCTGGACAGGAGTGATCTCAGGGATTCTGGACAGTGATCTCAGGTATTCTGGACAGGAGAGATCTCAGGTATTCTGGACAGGAGTGTTCTCAGGTGCTTGGGTCTGGAAGGATTTGTTATTCCCTAGTTTAGTGCATCTAACAAGTGCTTAAGCTGGGAGCTCCTTCTTCCGGTGGGGATAAAAAGCCTGCTTCAAAACCCAGTTCAAAGCAGGTTCTAAACCTGCTGGCTGTAATTAAGCAGAAGGAATTCACACACAGAGGCAGGACCAGCTCAAACAGAGAAAAGCAGCACAGAGATCCAGCCAAGAGAGCCAGAGCTCTGAGCCTGTACAGCCATGGCTGATTCTACTCCATGTACAGCTGCACTCTCTATAGCTAGAGGAATGTAGAGGTAATTCCAGTTTGGCATGTCTGATTAGATCCCATTCAGGGTTTGAGGCTGATGGAACAGAAATCCTGGGAAAATACCAGATCCCTGGAAATCAGCAGCTGAATTCACCCTGAGTGCAATGAGAGCTGGGTTTCCTGGGGAGCTCTGAGTCCTGAAAGTCAATGCAGGGAAGGTTTTCTGCTGTCCCTGCTGACTCCCAGCTCACAGCCCAGTGATCCCAAATCATCTGCCTGGTAAAGTTTCTGAAATACTTTAATTCAATCTGCCTTGTCCTCCTGGGAAAAGCAGAGAGTAGCATTAGGGCTGTCAAGTTCCTTGTTTGCTTTGTCCCAGTGTGCCCCAGAAACTTGGGCTGGGAGGGCAGATGCCCCTGTTCCCATCCCTGCAGCTTCCAACATGGCAAAGCCAGGCTGATTTTGAGGGGTACAATTTACCCATCTCTGTCTTATTACTCTTTCTCTGAGTGAGGAATGTAAATTATTGAGATCCTGTGAAAATGCTCTAAAAGGTGCCTGGGAAGTGCCCCAGCAGTGTGAGGCTGTCTGGCACTCTGGGGTGAGATCTCCTTGCTCTAAGATCTCTGGATGCCTTGGGAATGACTGGACTGGAGTAGGAGGCAAAATCTGTCTAGAGCTAAATATTAGCAAATAGTAAAAAAAAAAAAAAAAAGGTAAAGATAAATATTAGTGTATACAAATATTTAGAAAGGATTAATGCCAGCAATGCCTGAAGGGAAGGATGAAAGGAGGCAGAGAAGACCTGAGCTGGGATGCTGCTGATCACCTCCATCTCAGGAGGGCTCCTCTAACACACTGGGCAGCCCAGAATCAGATGCTTCTATTTTCAAATGTCTTTTTTTCCCCCCCAAGATTTCTGCTGGCCAAATTTTGCTGTGAGGGACATCTTTGCACTCTGATAACCTTCAGATTCTGCCTTTAGATGCTTTTGTGCAATCTCACCCTCTGATTTTCCTATTACTGGCAGGCGGGCAGGACATGGTATTCAAATAAAATACTTGATATTTCCACTGATGCTGCAGAGCCAGAATTAATCTCGCTGGTGCTGCAGTGGAAAACAACAGAGATAAGCAACAAACCACCCGCTCTTGTGACTAAATTGAGCAACTCTGTTGGAATCCAGAGAGGAGGCAGCTCTGGGGTGCTGGAAGTGGCCCTTTTCCCGAGCCAATCAAGCTCTGTCCCGGCGCTCAGCAACAAAAGGTTGTGTGCAGGAAGGAAATGCTGTGCTTGTGCAGCCCTGCCTTCCCAAGGCTTTATCAGGTCTGCAGGAGCTCCAGATATCTCTCAGGACCACCGTGCAAAAGTGCAGGAAGTGCCTCGGCCTGACCTTTATCCACAATCAGAAGATTCCTTGGCAGAGCTTGTTTTTGCAGCCTCCACCTCAGGAATGCTGTGGAGCACTGGCTCTCCCTGGGGTTTGGGGATAGGTGGGAAACAGGAGCAGGCTGGGCACACACTGACATTCCTGGGGGGTCCTGGGGCATCCCAAGAGCCACCCCGACACTTCAGCTTCTGAGCTCTGGCTGCCCTCCCACTTTCTCTGTCTCTCCATGGACAAAAGCCAGAGCCTGGGTTTTAATCCCTTCAACGACCAAATCCAGTCTGACCATCTCTGGCAACAATTTTCTGGAATGAATGGTCAATACTACAGGGATCAGGATGGGTTGCCACTACTGTGGAGCTGCTTTCCTTCCTTTTTAGCTAAATTTAATTTCAAGTGCATGCAAGCGTGAGAGGGGAGGGAGAGAGTGGGACAATTTCATGCCTTAGAGAGAAAACCACCATTTATTTTGTCACTTTTTTTTACATCATCTTCTTCATACAACTGTTTCATTGTAACATTAATACATTAAAAAAAAAAAAACAACCCACCAAGATAGCTTGCAAAATTATATATATTTTAATATCCAAAAAGTACATTGCATATATATAGTAGCAAAAGCCCCATTTCCATGGGTAGTTCGTTCATACTTAAATTTTGCGATTATTGCAGAAATGTTGCTTAAAAACACCCCGAAAGCACTAGGACCTAACTGTATTAGTTTGATCTTCTCTTCCCACTTTGTTAAATAATGGCATCAGTGCTTGTGTTTAATGTTCTGAGCAGACTCCAATGCTCTGGTTTCAGACTCCCCTCCTGCAATGGGATGCACATGGACCAAATCCCGCCCCCACAGAGTCCCAGGGGTTGGTCTAGACTAGATAGTTGTGATCCTGTTAATTGGCTGCCACTTAATACAAGTCAGCTAATGGGTTGTACATGGAAATCTCACCCCCCAGACATCTGTTCCAAACCCCAAACGCTTGTGGTTTACCCTCTGTTTATGGCACCAAACCGCCGCTTGTGCAGCATCACATTCACATCTGCAAAGCTGGGGATGGCTCAGAGTTCTGGAAGGGGTCGGATTTCCACAGAACCCCCCCAGCAGAAGCCATCAAAAAAAGGAATATTTCATCTTTTTATCTATGAAGTGGTTAAGATCTTCCCAAAGTTCAGGATTTGGGTGAAAAGCGATCACAGAATAGTGCAATGGTTGCCTTGAGATGTTGGGCCTGTTTTCAATCAGCCTCAATGCAAACATGGGAGTAAGTGGAGTTAATTTGCAGACAGCTACAACAGAGTAATGGAGAAAATCCTCTCCTCTAGACAAACCCAGGGCAATCTGGAGGGTTTCTGGCCACTTTGGGGGTCAGTCATGGATCCAGTTGCAGGACTAAGCCTATCTCCAACAGATACATTACTTGTGTCTTATTTTTTTTTTTTTTTAGCAAAAAGTACAAAGCAACAGCCCAAATGTACAGATTGAAAAGATGTACAAATTACATTAAAAAAATAAACAAAAAACAACCGAGCTGATAGTAAAAAACAAACCTGCATTTGTGACCGAGGTCAACTCGTTTTATTTACTCTTTCTTTTAAAACTGTGAGATATAGGGAAAAATAACTCTGCATAATTTATACAGTAATTTGCCTTCTGGTTTGTTGACCCTTGGTTGACGGTCTGACAAACGCACAGCGTTCGCGAATCGGTGCTTCCAGAGCCCCGCGGCTCGGGCGGAGCCAGGGACCTGCTGTCGTTTATTCACTTCCCTTCTGCTTCCCAGGAATGCCTGTGCTTGACTTTGCCTTAGCTTTGTTCTGGTTTCTGCTGCTTGCTGAGTTCACACACAGTCAAATGAAGTTGTGCTATAGGAAAGTTCCTTCAATGCCCTTTACTTCTTAAAATATACATGTACATATATATATATGAATATATATATATATATTTAATTTCCAGTTGGGTGAAATTCCTCCTCTGCCTTAGAGCTAAGATTCCAGTTGTGGTGCCCTGCAGCCCAACATCCTCCACTGAATGGTCAAAGGGCCAGTGAGAAAAACCCCATTGTGGTTATCTTTTCCTGTGACCCACTGCTGAATCTATGCCTTGTCAAAAGCCTTTGAATCCTTAAAAATTTCTCTCATCCAAAAGCTAATAATCATTCCAGGGAATGGTGAACCATCTTCATTGTCACTTCCTACAGAGGACACAAGCCTTAAACCCCAAGGAAAAGGCAGAGTACTGGCCCACAGGAGCTTCCATCTCTCAGTTCAAGACACAAGAGGCAAAGTTACAAAAGTAAAAGGTTTGGTCCAGGAATAACAAATATCCAGTTTGAATTCTTCCCCAGAAAGGCCACAATTATCCATTAAGGGTCCCCCCAAAAACCATACAAATCCCAGGAGTAAAGAAAAAGTCCAAACAGACTGCTCAAGGCCACTGGCAGATCAAAGCATTTAGTAATAGCTGCCCAAGTGCGGTGTGACGTGGGCGTTGGGGTGGCGGGGCACGTTGGGGTTGGGGTAAATGCTTCCTGCAGGGGAGGTCCAATAGGGAGAGGCAGCTCCAAAGAAACTGGATGATGTGACAGGCATGGAGGAGGGGTGTGGGGGCACAAAGTTCACCTTCTGCTGGTGGGCATGGTAGGACGGCATGTAGGACAGATCCGACGGGTACTTGTACATGGAGGACTCGGTGGGGTGGGGCTGCAGGGCCTGGGCGATGCCGTGAAAGTCAAATTTGTAGGCATACCTCTTGCCGTGCACTTTGGTCATAATGTTCTTGTCGTAGTAGTATCGCAGCGCCCGGCTCAGCTTGTCATAATTCATGTTGGGTTTGCTCTTCCTCTCGCCCCAGCGCCGCGCCACCTCGTCGGGGTCCGTCATCTTGAACTCGCCGTTGGTGCCCTCCCAGGTGATGCAGTTGGAGTTGGAGCTGTCCGACAGCAGCTCCAGCAGGAACTGCCACAGCTGGATCTGCCCGCTCCCTGCAGACACAGCCAGGGGAAAGGAAATGACTCGGGCCTTCCTGCTCGGGGCACACACAAAGGCAGGAAACAGAAGGGCTATCTCGATCTCGACTGGGAACTGCTCCTTCGGGCCTTGGAAAGGCGGCCCTAGCAGTGGATAAACTGTTCCCAGCAAACAAGTTACTCAGCCCTTTGTTCTGGGCCTGGGCCTGAGGTCACACTACATTTCATAATGGTTGCCTTTGGCCTTAAAATCCTCGGGCTATTCATAAACAGGGCTTTCTATGAGGACACTGCTCTGCAGAGTTTTCACTGACTGGCTAGCACAGTGTCCTTCACCCCTCCACTGCTCTCTGTTTGCCATGGAGATTGTTTTGGATACCTCCAGCTCTCTTTCCAGTGGTCATCTGAATTATATGGGATGATTTGTTCCCCAGATGACTCCTGGTTTTACTCAGTGTAGTTGTACAAGTAGTTAAGTGTAAGTTAAGAGCCTTAGGAGGATGTTTCCTTACAGGCATCCCATGTGTACAAGTTTGGTTAGTTCGAGCAGGATTTGCTCCAGGCAAATTACTTACTCCCTAAAATCAGGGTTTATTTACTGCAGATGATGTGCTAGGGAGAGTTACACTGACACTTTCAGATGTCACTTTTTTCTGCCTTTCTTCTTGTAACCCACAGCAAGCAGTGAAAAATTAATCTGTACTGCAAATTTGAGAGACTTAGGCCCACTATAAAACCCTTCTCAGAAAATGCTGGGTTTGGGTCAGAACATCCAGGATGAGGATTTTGTCCCAAGAGAGATGTTGCTGCACCACTTTCCTCACTTTTCTGCAAGGGTTTTGGCAAAAGCCCTTGTGAGGTCCCAGCTGCTGAGTTCAGTGGCTCTCACAGGTCCCCCCAAGGGTGCAGGGGCAGCAGCTGCTCCCCCAGTGCAGGCTGGAGAAGCAGCTCCAAAGGAAAATTCCTCTTTGGTAAGGGGGGTCTGAAATGTAAAATGAACTCACCTGGATTGGCAAGACGGCTGCTGGTAGGCCCCAGGATTTGGTAGGGATCTAAAAAAATAAAATAAAATTTAAAAAAATCGTCCAACAAGATTTAAAGGATGTTTCATCAAAAAGAAACTCCAGGTCATTAGGGTTTTGCTCTAGAAACCAAATTTTCATTTTCTTTCTTTACTCCTTCTGTTCCTTCTCCCAGGGCCTGGAAGTGCTCCTTCTTTCTTTCTTAGCAAACAACCACCAGGTATTTCTGGCATCTAAAATGGCACAGCCACAGTCTCTGGCACTGCTCTCAGACCTGCCTGCTTTTGCAGTCTGAGATCTCCTTGGACATAGCCTGCACTGTGTGGCAACCAGAACACATCAAACGTGGAAAAAAACCTGTGGGATAGGAGAACAGCCACAAAGCAGAAGCAAATGTATTTTTCCTAACAGAAAAGAGCTCAATAAAAAGGAGAGCAGATGAGATTTTCAGATTCACTGGTTAGCAGCTGAGCTCGCTGCCCTGGGAGGGCAGGAAATGTTCACCCAAGTCTCTCTTTGTGAGGGAAACACAGCATTAGAGAGATGAGAGTAACAGGAGTTTGTCTCTGGCTCCACCAAGGCTGAGCGGTTCTTGAAACCCCACAAAGCATTTATTAGGAATGAATTCCTTCCCTTTCTGTGGGGCCTCCTCAGCCCTAATCTCTGCACTTGTGTTTTGCCTCTGCTTGTGGTGATTTGGATCTGCAGCCTTTGCTGGTGGATTGAACCGGTTCCAAGACAGCCAAGCCCGGAGCAGGGGAAGGGGATGGGGAGCAGCTGTGCCGGGCAGAGAAGGTGAGGAGGCAGCAGGGGACACTCCCTGCTCTGCCCGGAGGGGCTGCTTTCCTCCCCTGCCTCCCTCCGGGCCGGGCAAGCCCTGCTGGGATGGGACAAGCTGGGATGCTCCAAGGGGACCCTGCAGATCCTGGCCCAGGGATGGGCAGGGGCAGAGCAGGCACAGAGCCCCGGGGAGAGCTGCTGGCACAGCCCAGCCCCTGCCCTGAGCCCTCCCCAGCCCAGGGTCACAGACCCCTCTCTCACCTGGCTGGGGCCGCTGCTGCTCCGTTGTCTTATTCACATTTTGTGTCCCTGCCACAGGAGGGCCTGGAAAGAGAGAAGGGGTTTATAGGGACAGAGAACAGGTACAAAGTACAAAACACACCCCACAGGAATCACAGCAACTGCAAGGGAAAGGATTGCTCAGACTAGATTTTGGGGGTTGCACTATAAAATAAAGAGATGTCCCTAGAAATTTAAAATTTCAGTGTAAAATGAAAATGTACCAATAAGGAAAGCATTATATAGATATTTACAATTTGCCAAATAGTCAGTGAGACAAGGAAAATATTATGCAGCTACCTCATTAATTTTCTGTCTTTTCTTGCAACTGAACTTCCATTCTAGTTTGCATCCATGTTGTGAACAAAAAATTGGATTATTAAATGTACAAATGCCTACCTCCTTCCACACTGGAGCTTTTCCCACATTTTTTACAAATGCAAATTGTTTTTTAGAAAAAAAAAAATAAATTGGGGTTTATCAAACATTTAGTTGATAATATCACGGTGATTTGTATAAATCCCTTCAACAGGAAGATCTCCTCGTTGTATCATTTCTCACAACAGAAAACTGTGACTCGAAGAATAATTCTCACATTGGGGGTGAGCACAGCTCAGGAAGCTGCAGAGCAAAGGGAGGGGACTCTGCCAGGTGCTGCCACATGGATTTACAGCAGAAGAACGCTGCTGAGGCTCAGACATGCCCACCCTGCCCAGGGAGAAGCCCAGCAGTGGGACAGGGAACAGTGGGATAGGGAACAGAGCCAGCAGGCTGGGCCAGCTGCAACAGGGATTTTAGGGACAGAGAATTGGTCTGGGATGTCCAGAAATCAAAAAATCAAAAATCAAAAAATCAAATCAAACCAAACCAAAATCACTACACCTTCCTGTTGGAATCCAAGGCACTCTAAACCCAGCAAGAACAAGAGCTGGATGTGAGCAGGGCTGGAGCAGAGCCCCATCTGCTGCTGGACTTTGCCTTTCTGCAAAGTTGGCAGAAGCTCTCAGAATGTCCAGATCTGCCCCTAAAACCATCACAGCAGGGGACAGGCCTGTGATTAACAGGGTGTCTGTGCAGAGGATTTGCTGCTGACTCCTTAACCAAACCCTACAATTTTACTCTGTCCATACCATCATTCTACTTCTTATCTGTCCCCAGTTCTACCTCTTATCTGTCCCCAAATCTTGTGCTCCTCTGACACAGGCCAGCTGTGCCCAAGTCTCATTTTAACTTTCCATTGCACTGTTTGTGATTCCCACTGGGACAACTTACTTTTGGAGAGGCCAGAATTCCCACTACTGCCCCATCCTGCTCTCCTGACTGCACCATAGGAGAGATCTAATGACAAAGGACAACAGGCACACAGGGGTTGGAAAGAACTTTTCCTAGAAAAAAACTTGTAAGACTTTGGCTGACAAGTTTTGCTTGTGGTCCCAGCTGGCTTAGCTTCTGTAGGGCTGTGTTCTTTTCCTCTCCCACATGTCCAGTGCTCCCCCAGCCCCTCACAGAAGGGTACATAGGGCTGTAAATGCAGCAGTGGGGCTCTTTGGGCAGTTCTCAAGCCTGACACATTCTGACCATGAAGTGCTGTCCTTGCACTCAGTGGAATTCAGTGAGACCCATCCCAGCCTAAAGGAGACCCCTTTCTATCATCCCAAGACCACAGGCAGAGGAGGAGGAGATGAACCCTGTTACTATTTCACAGAAATGAAATTCAGATTTTAAAACTGGGGAGGCTGAGTATTTGAGGTGACAATAAGGAGGTTATTTCAAGGGATGCAAAACGGGGAAAAGCATCCTCAGGGACATCCCAAGTGCCCCACTGCCCAGCACCTCCTGCCTGTGGCACTGTGCAGCTCCCTGAGGATCCATCCCAGGCACTGGCACATTCCTCCAGCACTGGGAAAGCCGCTGAGGCTTTGAAATTACAGTCTTGCAGTTATTGGCATGGAAAGGAAAACACAGAGGGAGGGGAGAGGGGAGGGTGGGGGAGCCAGAGGAGGAGGGAAGAGAGAGGAATGGGGAAAACAGAGCTCGTGTAATCTGCCTGTTTTTATTTTTATTTTACTTGTTTGTTTTTTTCCCTTTTTGCAGAAACCACAAACCCCACTGCAAATAGATCAGACTGGAAAACAAACCACTGTGGTTTCAGCTGGGACAAAGACTGGGATGGGACAGCTCAGGAAAACGGAGGTGACAGCTTCATCTACACTGTTCCAGCAGGGAGACCTGTCCCAAAAGGGATCCCTGTCCCTGGTAGGGGTCCCTGTCCCATTCTGGATCCCTGTCCCCATTAGGGATTTCTGTCTCCATTAGGGATTCCTGTTCCCATTCAGGATCCCTGCAAGGGATTTCTGTCTCCATTAGGGATTCCTGATCCCATTAGGGATCCCTGTCCCCATCTGGAATTCCTATCCCATTCTGGATCCCATTCCCATTCTGGTCCCCTGCACCACTGGGATTCCTGTCCCATTCCGGATCCCTGTCCCCATCTGGAATTCCTGTCCCCATTCCAGATCCCTGTCCCCATTCAGGATCCCTGCCCCATTCAGGATCCCTGTCCCCATTCCAGATCCCTGCCCCATTCCAGATCCCTGTCCCCACTCTGTATCCCTGTCCCCATTCCCGATCCCTGTCCCCATTCAGGATCCCTGCCCCATTCAGGATCCCTGCCCCATTCAGGATCCCTGTCCCTGTCCCCGTGGCCCCACAAGCAGCAGCAGGGCTGTCCCCTGCCTTGTGCTGCTGTCCCGCACCTTTCCCCAGCCAAGGGCTGTCCCTGCTCTAAAGCAGGGGCTGTTTGCAGGAGGCGTTTTCCTGCTGCAGTCCCGATGGATCCCAGGGCACGGAGCTCTCCCAGGGACCAAAAGCAGCAGAGCAGGAGGGCCTGAGGCAGGCCCTGCCTCTGTCCATGTCCTCGCTGCAGCCAGGCTCTGACTCCACTGCTCCCCTGGGATATCCCTCTGAGGTATTGCAACCACAGCTCTCAGAGCCATGTTTGGGGAAACGCTTTGAAAAACCCAAGTTCTGCACTGAGGAAAGCAAAACCCTCAGCAATGTCCAATGGAGATGTTAATGGACATTTTGGTTTGTTCAACCCATAAACAGTTCTGTAATGTAACATTAATGGAAATGCCATATGATGATCCTGTTAAAGGAAGGCAGCAATTCTTTTTCCAACAGAAAAATCCTTTTCAAAATAGGGAAAAATTTCCTTCTCAAGAAGTAGTGGAGCTCATTGAAAATTTTCAGTTTTCTCTGATTTTTTTGGGGTCCAGATCATTGAGTCAAGGGAATCAACTGCTACAAAGGGGTTGCTTGATCCAGAGTCATCAGCACATTTTGGGTAAATAAATAGGCCATGATTTGGAGAGATGATCTTCCTCCTTCTCCTCCTCAGGTTTAATCCAGGCTGACTGAGTCCCTTTGCCTCAGTTTTTCCTCTATAAATATGGATTATGGAGCAAAGTGTGGGAATGTATAGGGGCAGCCTTGTGTGAGAGATTGGGTAAGATTTGGCCCTGAGTGTGACTTGGCCATAATAAGAAGGGCTAAATATGATAATCAGCCCTGCTATTGAAACACCGTGTGCACTCAGCTACTGCAAGTTTCCAATTCTCTCTCACCCCCCCAAAAAAAAAAAAAAAAAAAAATCCAAATGCAGGAAACTATTTTTATTTCACAAAAATCTCTGCAACGTGAAAGAACCACACCAGCCTTCCTGGCTTCCAGGCCCAGGCTCAAAAGCTGAATGTGTTTAAAGCAAAATGGAAAAGGCAGAGCCAGGGAACCCCTCCAGAATTTTGCAGGTTCCTGCAAAAACAGGATCATTCCCAGGACCTGACGCCCAGTGGCTCGAAGAGATCCTACAGAACTGCAGCCAAACAGTGACAGGAATAGTCTTATCTGTCATTTAAACCACTCTGATTTTACACCAAACTTGCCATGGGATGGAAATTCAATTAAAAGACTTGGACTGGGGGTCTCTCCTGGTGTAAATCAGCAAATGGCTACAGTGAAGTGGGGCAAATTTATCCCAGAAAGGATCAGGTCCCTGAGTCTGGTTTAGACTTAAAAGGCCCCGTGGAACAAGAGCCCTATGACAAATGTGTGTTCAATACAAAATGGAATTAAAGAGCAGAAAATAAATCATAGATGCTTTCAAGAACTGTCATTCTGCAGCTGTCTGGTTTATGTCCAGAAATTCCCCAGCATGAATGCTCAGTCTATTAGGAGGAAGGTAAAGGATATTAATAATGCTTTGCACTTTCACAGCAGCTTTCAAGCGAGGATCTCACAGCTTTGCAAACATTCGCACTCACAGCGCGCCTGGGAAGAAGGTTAAATATAATTTTATTTATTCGCAGGCATAAATGCACTTTCTGCAGGCTTTAGCTGCCTTTTCCAGATGCACTGCCTTCTCAGGAATTGGGCTGTGGGGGGCAGGTTGCAGCCCTGCTCTCTGTGCCCTTTTAGCCCTGGTCTCCACTCTCTCACCCCAAATCTGCCTCAGCTTCTCCCCTGGTACTCTGTGCTCAGCTCTCCAGACAGCCCCTGTCTCCCCTGGAGCTGTGTCCCCTCCCAGCACCTCTGGGGCATATTTAGTCTGAACAGACTGATAGATATAGCTGGGGGCAGATGGACAGACACACAGACTCCCTTCCCAGGAAACCAGCCTGAAAACCCCCAGGTGGATTCCCACACCACCATCCCAAATCCTTGTCAGTCCTGTCAGCCTGAGTGCAGCCCAGTGAGCAAGGGAGTCTGTGTTTGAGATGTGATGTATTAGGGAGCAAACCCTCTCTGATAAACTTCAAAAAAAAAAAAAAAACAACCAAAAAAAAAAAACAAAAAAAAAAACCCAAAAGACCCAACCCTGGTGTTTTATAAATCTGAGAGTTTGGGACAGAGGGGAGGTGAGGGGGGGTTCAGTGAACAATGGGCTCACAGTGCCTGTGCTTCCTGAGCTGCTGGGAAGTGCTGACAGCCCCTTCATCCTGCTCCCTCTGAGGAGCTTTCCCAGTCAGGCACCACTTTGTGCTACC